TACTCCCTTAATCGTGATATGTTCCTTTTTGTACTCGTCCCAAACATCCGGCACACCCTTTTCAAACATCTCCACTAGTTCATCGATCATTGGTTCCAGAAACACATCGATGTCATTCCCAGGCTGTCTTGGCCCTTGGATCAGTAGTGGCATCTGGATGTACAACCGCTTCATATAGACCCAAGGTGGAAGGTTGTATATACAGAGCGTCACTGGCTAGGTGCTATGATTGCTTCTAACCTGGTCGAAAGGATTTATCCCATCTGTGCTCAAAGCAAATCAAAGGTGCCTTACCTCTCCACCGATGTCCTTATAGAACATAGTATTGATAGTCCTCCAGTCATACCCATCGGTGGGGTGCCTCATCATTGTATCTTTCTTACGCTCTTCGCCATGCCAGCGCAACAGCTTGGCTGACTTTGCACATGCAAACAGCCTATGCACCTAGGGAGCTATAGGAAAACACCAAACGACCTTTTACGGGACCTCCTCTGGTCTTAGTACCCTCATCTGACGGCCCTTTCTTGTACCGTGGAGCTTCACACTTGGAGCACTTGCCCAAGTCTTTGTATTTTTCTCCACGGTACAATATACAATCATTGGAACACGTGTGGATTTTTTCAACCTCAAGGCTGATGGGGTAGATCATTTGCTTGGCCAAGTATGTCTTTTCTGGCAACTCATTTTTTTCTGGGAGCATTTTCTTTATTGTATCTAACAATTGATCGAAGCCTTTATCGCTCAATCTATTTGTCGATTTGAACTCTAATAGCATGATGTCAGCTTCCAGTTTGCTCATTGGATAATTCCTATACAATGGTGTTTTGCCATCTTGTCTCATTTTCTCTAGCTTTCTCAGCTGTCTTTCACTAAGGCATCCGGTCTCTACATTACGTAGCAGCTGAGAAATGCCATCGTTATCCTCGGTGTCATCAACTTGCGTGTTCCTAAACACATTATTAACTGTGGCCATAGGTTCCATGTTGACACCGGGTTCCTCGTCAGCATCGTGGATGTCTATGTCAGGCATGTCCACATCATCATCATTTTCCTACAGAACATTCACACCAACCTCGCTATGCATAGTCCATATCGTATAGTTTGGCATGAACCCCCTGGTAATCAAGTGCGATCGTATAGACTCAATTTGATGAAAGTTTCTATGATTCTTGCAATCTTTGCATAGGCAGAAGATAGGGTTCCCATTCCCAGCATGGGCTTTGGCATCAGTGATAAAATGGCTGACGCCATGCATGTACCGCTTGTCCGTTTGGGACAGATGCATCCACTCTCGATCCATCTCTGCACAAAAAAATACAGAGATAATAATTACAAAGAATTAATAAGAAATCGAGATTCATGAACAACAATTGTAGCTCGAAAGTACCATTTTTGGAAAACATTATTGTATACTAATTATTGAAAAATTGAAATTGGTAGCCCCGGCCCTGTAAATTGACAATCATAGTAAAAACAATTATTGCACAATATTGAAGAACAACTATTCTACTCTACTTCTAAAAACTAATTATAGCATCACATACTAACAATGATGATCTTGACCACCATGGAATAATAAGCTAGAAATTTAAATGTGTTCATAGACACCAACCTTTTGGACGATGGATTCACCATAATTTGAGCCTTGCACAAACGTCCAATTGGAAAAGTGCTCTCTAGAATGGAGAAAGAACTAGAATGAGAATCAAGCAATATAGCCATCAAAATGAAGCTAATTAAGCAACAAAATCAAAGAAGTGGATGTTTGTTACTAACCTTAAAACAAAAAGATCAAGCCATTCTTCAAAATCCAAGCACTAGCTTCATGGTAAAGAGAAGCTGCAACGATGGAGGGAAGGGTCTAAACGCGCGTCTTTGTTCTCGGGATGGAAGAGAGGAGGAAGGAGAGGACGGCTGCAGCCTTTTTGTGTTGTAGGCTTATCACCGTCGGTTCTTGGCTAGAACCGACAGTGATAGTGCCCAATCACTATCGGCTCTTGGCTTAAACCGGCAGTGATGAGTGGCCGCCAAAACACTGCCGGTTTAAGCCACAAACTGACAGTGATGTGGTCCTTCACTGTCGATTTTAGGCCAGCCCCAATCATTTTTTTCATTTTCAAGCTCATAACCGGTAGTGAAGGTACATCACTGTCGGTTCTCACAAATCCGGCAGTGATGAAGCTGGCAGTGATGTGCAAATCTGACGTAGTGGCGGCTGGTCGCTCTGTAAGGGTTCAGAGTAGCTTGTAGAGGCACCTAGAACTTCAAGCACTCAATGGAGCATGTGTTGGCAGAGGAAGAAAGCTCAATACAAAGCTTTATGTTAGGGACTATCTGATTGAAAGGACGGTGAAAAGTGATAGGTGTGTACTGTGGTAAAAATAGGAAACGTTGTCCTGCGTTGAGGCTCATTTGGCTTTATCTAGTGATCGTCTAGGTGGAGTGCATCTTTTCCTCAAGGCTAACAATAACCTATGCCAGGTTGGGCATGCTATATCAAGATCGGCCGATGTGTAGGACTCCCACTATATATTTTTAACCCAGCCACCTTAGCTATATAAGTAAGGATCTAGACTTCTTTTGGGGACTTTCTAGACGTTAGACCTATGCAAGATAGGCCAGACGCTCTCTGGGCACTACCAACACTCATTCTCGCTAAGATGTGGGCTGTGAAAAAGGTATTATTGGTTATGGGCTGTGAAAAACCTCAAAGCTGTTTGGTTAGCCGATGTGGCTTTCACAAAAAAAATGCTATCATTAGGCTCCACATATCATCCACCCAATACATATTTGTCCTTTTTCCTACGCATTTCTTCCTCAAGCGCTTCGGCGAGGAGCGGTGAAGCTACCACTCGTCCATGCTGCCGTGCACTGGTGGAGCTAGCGTTCGCCAGCGCCTTGGAGCTTGGACGACGGTGGCGGTCGAGCTTGGGGCAGCAGGCAGAGTGGGGAGGCCGGAGATGCTCGCGGACCTTCTTGATTCCTACCGGACAGGGAAATGAGGAAAAAATACGAAACAATAGCTTCATATCCAGTGACAAAGGGTAATATCGTGAACTTTCACAACTCTAGAGCGGGTGGAAGCACCTCTTACCCCTCTTGTGAACCTTTGTACTACCACAAAAGCAGCTTTCGCCAAAAAAACAGGGGTAGAGTTATACCTCTTTGGTCAAAAGCATTTTTGGAACTAGTATAAATCTTGAGTCCGAATGTTGACCTATTACCTATAAGATCACAAATTTACATACAAAACAAGCACAAGCAACTTGGGAAAATATTTATGGCGATGCTAGCACTCGGGCATTCGAATAGACGCCCACGTCCGGATCCCGCGTGTGCTAGCCTATTTTCATGCACCATGTTTCCCGCACTAGCTCATTACACGTGCCCACGCAGGGCCCACGTCGCCCCGAATGTCTCCCGCGCCGCCCGATCGTAGGTGAGGACCGTCTGCCCGCTCGGTGGCGCTCCAGCAGCTGCAGCAGGCGGCTGTGACAAGTGGTCCCATTCAACATGTGCAACATCTGATCTACTTTTGCAACATTGAGATAAAACACTTGCAACATACGTTTTAAATAGCTGAAACACTTGCAACATACGTCTGACACACTTGCAAAACACCAAAAAACTTGAAAACACGTGTGTAGCAATTGCAAATATTATAAAATCCAGATGAAAACACTTGCAACATACATATGAAAACACTTGAAACACTTGCGTATATATGCAACATCCAAATCTACTTTTGCAACATCCATATGAAACACTTGCAACATACGTCTGAAATAGATGAAACATTTAGAATATACACTTGAAACATACGTGTATAGCCATTGCAACATGTGCAACATCTCGATCTACTTTGCAACATCAATATAAAACACTTGCAACATGCACTTTCAGTGCAATGCTGTCACCTTGCTGCCTGGACGAATGGAGGCTCGTCGTTGAGGAGCTTGACGCCGGCGTGGAGGTCGATGGCGGTGCATGGAGCTCGCGGCGGCGCGGAGGTCAGCAACGGCGCATAGAGCTGGTGACGTCGCATGGAGCTCGCGGCAATCGGAGGTCGGCGCCGGGGCATTGAGCTCGCGGTGGCGCGAAGGTCCAGCGTGGGCATCTCGCCAGCGGATGGAGCGCAGCCGCGGCAGGAGGTGTGACTCTGGGCGGGGACTCGTGGTGGCACCGAGGTCGGCGGCGACGCGTGGAGCTCGCGGCGGCGCCGAGGTTTGGCGCGGGCATCTCGCCGGCGGACGGAGCGTAGCCGCGTCAGGAGGCACGTCTCCGAGCGGGGCGTGGTGGGTGGCTGGGGCGTGCGGCGTGCAGCGCGAGCGGAGTGGGGCAGTCGGGTCCATCCATTTCCGAAATATTTACGTCATGTTCAAAAAATGATTGTTTATTTCCTGCTATTCAGCGTGTTACTTTTTCTCGAAGTACACAAAATGGATGTTGGTGATAAAAACAGAAAGAAGGGACTTGCTAAAATTCAGCCTGAATTTTAGCTTCCTTTCAGGCAACGGTTATTATACATATTTTCTGTTGAAATTGCAGTTTCAATTCGTTATAATTTATGTATGCATAATCTGTAATTTTTGGATTTAAAAAAAACGTGTTAGACAAAATCACAAATCGAACAAAATAAAATTTATATTGGCACAAAGGCAATTAACAATTATTTCTATTGTAAAACAAGGAAAAAATAATATGTTATGACACAAAACAATTAACAAATCAATGCACTTGAGTTTGAGGCTGACACAGCAGTAAGTAGGGACTCGCCTGAACGGACTACAAAAGTCAGGCGACTGATGCATAGGAGTTGTGGGGAAAAAACCCCTGGAAACCCAATACCTTTTTTTTTTTTTTTTTGTGTGTGTGTGACTAGAAAAGCCAATTTCTGGGAAAGTATTTTAGTGCTAGCGTTGTTGTTGCGCATATTCCCGCCCTGTTCGCTTGGCTTACAAGCTAACGGGGCGAGAGAAGAAGGCCACGGCGAGGCGGCAATGAGCAGCACCACCGCCGACACCTACCCGGAGGGCGTCGGCTCCTGCTGCCCTCCAACCCCTCCCACTTCCCCTCCCCCTCATCCGAAGCCGGCGGCGGCCCTCCGCGGCGCTCCGGTGAGGCGGCAGCTGGACTTCGCGGACGCCGACGCCGGTGGCGACCTGGACGACTACGACGACTTCATCATCCGCGAAGTGGATGACATTGATCAGGGCTATAACGAGGCCAAGCGACGTGCCCCGCCGTGCGTCTGCGGGCGCGGCGATTGCGCGGTGCAGAGGGACAACAAGCGCGGCCGGTGGATGTACGTCTGCTCATCGCAACCGGTCAGCCTCCCCACCCACCTCCAACTTTTTTCTCCGCTTCTAGCTTTTTTTCCTCCTTTTTTGGTGGTGGGGTGTGGGTGGGTGCTGAAGACGGTTTCTTTGAGTGCTTTGGGATGGAAAATGCGGTATGCGGGGGTTTTATTGTTTAGATGGGGGGAAATTTCGGTTCTTGAATCGTGTTAGTGAAATGTGTTAGGATAGAAGAGACGGATTTGAAGATGTTACAGTCTGGGGGAGTTGAATGCTGGATTGCAGGGACCATGTTTTGGCTTCAAGAGTTCTTGCAGGGGTATGCTTGGCTTGATGATGCCCAAGCTGCTTCATTTTTCTGAGTAAACAGCGGTTCTGGTTGGTGACTTGTATGGAATGTAGTGTTCCAGGGGAAATTGCAGTTTGCCTGGCCCCAATTTGGTAGTAACCTGTCGCTTTCGGCCAATTTGGGTGAAATTGTTGCCTGCAAGCAGAACTTCAGATGTGATTTTCAGCCTGCTGGAGAATTTACCCGTCCATCAGACCATCACTGTCCCGTTTTATGTACTAGTGTAGTAATTTTAATGTACAACTTGGATAAAGTAATTTTCCTTGTGCAGATTATGGCAACCATTTTTGTGACCATAGTTATTACTAAGTTTAGCAAAGGATCTGTCCGTTTGGCCAGCTAGCTGTCTGGCACAATTTTGAGCAATAGTCTGTCACTTTAACATGGAGGAAGTTCTTGTTGTGTCTTCTGCTATTATTACAAGTTTGCAAGTGGGTATGAGAATCACTCTATTCATGCTTCTGGCTGAAAAATCATAGTGTCTGTCATGTCTATTGTATAGCAGTCAAGTTGGTGAAACACTAAAACTGCATCATGTAATTATCCAACCTTGGCTGACTTTAAACTACTATACTCATTGAACAGAACACCTTGTGTGTCTCCTGTGTCAATGCCCGTACCCTCTTATGACTTCATCCCAGAAGATTTGGAATCTGTTACTATTGCTTGTGACCACATGGAATCTTTGCTCAGAGAAGAGATTTTTGATCAGCAGCACACTTATTAAAAACATCACAAGATGCATGGCCCTACTGAATTTTTGTCTTTTGCTAACTCATCAGAATCGTTTGTCTCCCGAACTATCTATTTGTCTCCGGAACTATCTATCGTACTGTACTGATTTGAGCACATTTCTGTCTTGTGAGACACTGTATTAGTAGTTTAGTATGTACCCAGTCCCAGTGAGATATAAGCATTTTGGACAGTGTCTCTTGCAGTTCTATAACATGACATCAAATTTTTACTCCTAAAATATGAAGTAAAAGGTATCATTTTTATATGTTGGAGGCATTCTAGGTTTCTAGTATGCGTAAGAACCAACAATATGGTATATTGTTAGATGAAATGTAGTCTCTAGTGCCGTCCTGTCTATTTTTGTAAGAACCTCTCATGGAAGCTTAATGGCCCATAATTAGCAAAACATGTGGCACTGTTCACTGAATATTAGGTCATCTAACAAACCACCACCCAACCATATGTGATAGATGCTTGGCCGCTTGGGGTTGCCGTAGTCATGCATGTAATGCACATAAAGCAGTAATAATCAGCCAAATATGTTTTTATTGAACACGCAGGGGAATTCAGCCGAATATGTCTTTGTAGACCCTGGAACTTGTTGCAAGTTTTCTATGTGCCCAGTGTATACACTACAAATCAATCCCTGAAAACCTTAATTTGGAGTTTGTACTGCTTCAGTGGCATCCGTAAGTCATCACATTAGGTTTTCAAAATATATATATTTATGACTTAAGGTTTAGTGTCATAACTCATAACCATTATCCTCACATTTTCTACAATATGCTCCCACACATAACTTAGGGAAAATGCAATCAGAACCCGTATTTTTCCTAGACAATGGTTTTTTTGGTGACGTTTCTAGGTGCATTCACTTTTTTTTTCTTTTTTGCATTATATCCTTTCGACCTTTCCTGAAGCAGCAGGTTTTGTCTTTGTGTATACAAGTTTGTTCAAGTTTCATCAATTGTTCAGGCATGTTTCTTTGAATCCCATTGTATTTACTTCTTTAGTCATCTACAAATTGAGTGTTTTATTCTTCATTATGCAATGAACTTCAATGAACTTGCAAAGTATTTTTGTCTCACAAACATATAATTGACAACGTATTTACTTGTTGAACATGGCTTTTCAGAAGTGCAAACATGTTGCCATGTGTGAGGAAGTTGATCAGAATCCACAATCACCGCCTGCTGTTAGGAGTGATCCTAAACCAAGCAATCCTTGTGTGTTCAGCATTCCAAGGACTCCCGTGGATGATGCTAGAACACGAATTAATAATGTTAATCCCCAAGGTGCTGGTGCTACAACTCCAGTTAATGTCAGTCCCCAGGCTGCTGTTGCTAGAACTCCATTTAATGACACAAAAGGTGTTGGCGCTACGACTCCAGTTCATGTTAGTCCACAAGGTGCAGGCACTACAGCAGCAGTTAAAGCTAGTCCCCGATGGCATAGATATAATGATGGACAGCTAATCTGCCAATGTACAGCAGGGAAGTGCAAAAGATTGAGAGTGGGCAACGAAGACTGCTATGTTTGTCCTATACCCAAGGTAATGCTTTTTGTGGTAATTGTTCTTTTTTTTTGTTCCTCTTGAAATGTTTTAGTGGTTAAATTATGTAACTATGATCAGGTATGCTGTTCTTTTATTAACTAGATATTTTAGCTCCTGAGATCATACTATCATACTGTTTTTTCTTTTGTTTATTTGTCCCAAGAGAAGTCAAATAAATAATGAGAAAAGCATGAATGATTCTCTTCCTGTGAGAATTTGAAGATAGATAAGTTGCTAGCAGCCTAGCAATATATATTTCAGTGAAGTTGCTCCAGCAATCCTACAGTTGCACAATGTAGCATAACGTGCAAGTTAGCAGCTAAGGTTGTGGAGAGCCTGTTTAACCTATCTCCCCACCCACCCACTCAGATTTGAGCGCTAGGAATGTTTGCCAGAAATCCTATCCATTTTTGTTTTTTCCACCACGGACGAACCGAATTTTTGTTTTTTCCACCACGGAAAATTACAATAGTTTGTTATCCATTTTTGTTTTAAGGAAAAGTTTATGTTTTCTGCCAATAGGAATGCTACAATATTATACTTTATTTCTTATTTATCAATACTGAATCCTAAGACTTTTGCACTGTTATAATAGTCAAGTTAGATACTGTTGAAAAAACTTCTTAAGTGTCCTACAAGTTTAGTCCAGTTTTTGTCCAATGTGTTACGACATAGATGACAGCATCAAGAAAATAAATTACTAAATTACGGATATCTATATCTGAAATAACTCTGAGATGTAATTGGCAGGTAGTTTTTCTTAAAATCATCTATTTTTGCCCCTTTGATTTGTTTACTATTGTGTGCACATTCCCTCAAATTATTGTTTATGAAAGTGAAGAATTGTTAAACCATTTCAAAACCGCAACTTGCATCTGAGATTTGGCCAACCTAGGAGGAAAAAGATGGCGTTGGAAACAAGAAGAAATAAGCACACACATTTGAGCCAAACAGGACTTGAACCTGGATGGTAGGAGTGTACATCCACACCTCCCACCAACTGAAACTTGGTTCAGTTCCTTCGATCTGATTCAGAGATACTGTCTTGACTTTTTAGCTTTTCCATATTCTGGATTAGTAACTTGATGTTGGGATCACAATCCAATATTTTGGAGTCTCTAAGCTACTTTTAACTTTATGTTTCCTGCTACATGCAATTGACCAGCTGGATTACTGTTTATTCTGCAGGGACAAGGTGCATGCAGTTTCAAGGTGCCAGTAACAGATGTTGTTAAAGGACCACCACAGGTTGGGGACTACAATACAATGGAAGCCCATGGGAACACTGCAGTTGGAGTCGGAGACAACAATGGTAATGAATCAGCCAATCCTGCTCAACCTAATGACGATGAGTGGCCAATCCCATTTGACGTCATCAACAATGAAATCGTGCTCACAGGTCAGGCAACGCCCCGTGCTGTAGTCCACCAGAATTCACCAGGCACGCCGCGCCAGCCGACTGCCATGGCGAAAACACCCGTGACCTCGCCCATGACGCCTTTTGGTAGCCGCAGCCCCATGACCGGGCGCCCCTGCTACGGATGCGGTGAGGAAGGGCATTGGATCACTGCCTGCCCTAAACGATCTTGCCGCAGCCCCATGACCGGGCGCCCCTGCTATGGATGCGGTGAGGAAGGGCATTGGATCAGTGCCTGCCCTAAACGATCTTGCCGCAGCCCCATGACCGGGCGCCCCTGCTACGGATGCGGTGAGGAAGGGCATTGGATCAGTGCCTGCCCTAAACGATCTTGCCGCAGCCCCATGACCGGGCGCCCCTGCTACAGATGCGGTGAGGAAGGGCATTGGATCAGTGCCTGCCCTAAACATTGGATCAGTGCCTGCCCTAAACGATCTTGCCGCAGCCCCATGACCGGGCGCCCCTGCTACGGATGCGGTGAGGAAGGGCATTGGATCAGTGCCTGCCCTAAACGATCTTGCCGCAGCCCCATGACCGGGCGCCCCTGCTACAGATGCGGTGAGGAAGGGCATTGGATCAGTGCCTGCCCTAAACGATCTTCCTGAAATAATTGTTTCCGTTGCGGCTTGGTCGGTCACAGGCAGGCTAATTGTCCCCAGCCGAGAGGGTCTTAGAAGCATGTGAACTGATGATCTCATCTCATGCTGCTTTGGGGTATGTGCCTCATAAGCAATCAGGGCTCAGGAGTAGTGCTAATGTTCCTGCTTAGTAACCTTAATCGGCTTTGGCATGGTACCTAAGTATATATAATAATATAGAGAGACAATAATATATGTTGAGAGGTAGGGTGGGACAGCTGTGAAAAGGGTCTGTAATTGGGCCCATTATCTGCTTAGTTTAGTTAATTAACTTAATGTTAGGTCGTAATATCTATTGTGCACACAAAATGCAGTAACAGTAAGCACGTCTCTGAATGGTATAAGAGCACAAGTACGAAAATAATCACCGGAGTGATCAAACTTGTCACACTTAGAACCCATATAAACCCGGTAGTCAACTGAAACCACGAAGGATTTCAAACCAACTTGCATACAACCAAGATCGTAGTGATTCAACATAACAAGCCACATGTTACATCCATTTCACAAGTACCTCATACATCGGAGTTCACATAGTTATTACAAAACGAGTTCACAAATAGCGGAAGCAAAGTAGTTTGAGACCATCACACACACTTAGTTCAAATACAAGCCAGTTCCATAGTCATATCCAGCAAAAGCAACATGATAAGATAATATAGATGATCATGCACATGATCTAGTCTTCATCCCCAGCAGGGCGGAGACAATACTTGCAGTAGCCGTTATAAAGTACATCATCTGCAACAAGGGGAAATAAACCCTGAGTACGAGAATGTACTCAGCTAGACTTACCCGTCGTAAACAAAAAAAAAATGACACCAAGGAGTATGCAAGGCTTTATCAGTGGATCTTGCTCGACAACCATTTTGCATAAAAGCTTTAGTGACATGAGAGTATAATTTAATTTATTAATAAGCAGTGAGTTATCCATATTAACCTGTCAACTAGATTAGCACCTGTACTAGAGCAAGCAATTGATTAGACTCCAAACATTAGTAACCATAGCCAGTATCTTGTTGTAACATCATCATCATTATCGATTTAACCATCAAGTTCCATTAAGTGTTTCTACGTTGTCGCTGCTCAGTCAAGTTCTCACTATCCATGAGAGACGGCGATTCGAATCGATTCCTATCCAGTTGGAGGGGTATTCCTAATACAAACCTAGGCATACCGCGCGAAGGCAGCCTTAGGTTACCTTTGGTATAGCTCAGGAATTGCGGCTCCGAGTTGCCCCGCACCCTCAGGGAGTCCACTCAGCCAGGTGGTCAATCTCACCTAGGACTTACGCCAATGGCTCCCCGCACATCCTTACTACCTCAAGGGTGCGCAGTTTCACTTCTCGGTCTTCCGGCCTGAGTTGAGCTACTCGGCTTCGCGGTCGGAACGAGTTATCCGGCCAACTAAGTGATAGGCATGCGTTCAACATGACATGAGGATGTACAGCGAATCGGTTCTTAACCGACACAGACGGGGATAGATCCACACCAAGACCTCCTTGCCTTGTTGCTTCTTCTATCGACATCCCGCCCGGTCACAATTCATTATTAACACATGGTTATTTTCTACGGTAGTAAATATAGCCAACCGTGACCAGACATCATCATAACTTGCAGGTGACAGGAAATCACCTGACTTTTACCGGTCTAAGCAAGGCTAAGCTTTGAGTCGCTCCTGGACCTAAATAGGATTCAGGGTACATTTACTGGACAAGGAATAGATATATGCAGCAAGTGTTTGCATCCAATTCCTATCACTTAATGCATCAATAAATAAAGATATTCAAAGTAACCATTTTTAAAACATAGGAGATTTAGAATGCTCCGGGGCTTGCCTTTCAGAAAAGATGAAGGTTGGTGATTGGTGCACTCAAGAACTTCTTCGTTGGCTCCTTCTTCGGGGGCCTGTACCTCCTGCTCCTGAGCTTGCTGCTGATCTTCCGGAAGTACTTGCTCGAATTCTAGAAGCGCGACTCCCTCCGGAACACCTATTGCATGCATATGCATAATATAAGAATCATGCATGCACAAGAGATGGAAGATGATGATGAAATGTACAGCCATGTATAGATGGACGCATGGCAACATGATGATATAAGATTAACATCTATTTTATCAAGTAGGAGCATATCTCTTTTAGAAAACAAGAATTGCACACTCACCAAGCTCTAACAACCTAAGATAAAGTTGTTCATCTTCAGTAAGAGGTCTAGCACCTGCAACTAACAAGTTATCTTAATTAGCCTAGCATCTAACTCATCATATCAACTCATATCAAGCAAACAAGTTATTCACTGAAATCACAGTTTTCAGGCTGCAAACAGCAGCAACAAGTTTGACCCATAACTGGAGTTCTACAGATCCAAATACCATGATTTAAGACTTTCTGGAAAGCTTATAAAATTGTCTACAACTTTTGTTTAATCACCAAAGTCTAATTCAAACTCCAACTTGATCAAACAGACTGATCTTTCAAAACTGTCTGTGGATTCCAGAGAGCAGGCAGTTGGGAGTGCTGTCTTCCAACTGATATAACTCTCAAACTACTAGGCCAAATGCCTTGAAATTTTGACACAAGCTAGATAAATAAGTTCCCTACAACTTTGTTATTGACCAAATTCACAGGAAACATCATCTTCACCAGTTAATCTGCTTAACTAAAAAATCTGTCCAGAAAACCACTATAAGTGAATTATAGCGGAAATAATATTTCATTACATACAAGAATAGCATTACGAGTACTACCAATTCTACCAGCAGTTAACATACATCAAATGAACACTAGAAAACATAATGACCATTCCTAAATAAATTATTTTCATGCATTTATTAATTTATTTAGATCATTAGGTTAAATAATAAACACATATCCAAAGTGCACAGAAAATTCTACAAAAATTACAGTAGCTTATATATGTTCCTAATAGGCTACTGTATAAATTTCACATCATTTCAACAAGCATAACATCATACACAAAAATGACAAGCCCGCAGGGTTTAAAATAGCATAAATAGAAAACCCTAGTGAAAAGTGTCAAGCAACAGATTTTATATTTTTCTTAGGTTCATCATAACACCATAACACTGTACAAAAATTTTCATGCTCACTGGATACATATTTTTAGCATGAAAAATAGCACAAGAATCTCCTAATTATAAAAGGGAAATTAATAACTCAAAAATTATCCATGCAATGACTCTCAAATTTTTACCAGAGCTTATACTCATCAAGTAAAGCTTACCATACAAATTTAATAATTTTTGGAGCACTGCAACTCTAGATATGAGTTAAACAAGTTTTCATTCATTTAAAAACACATTTTAAGCTCCAATTTAATTCTCCCAGACACTTTACTACAACTGCCTACAACTGCTCATTTTATATTTTTCCTAAATACTACACTTCAGCAAGATCCTAAAAAAATTGGAACCACCCAATTTGGATCTACCAAAGTTGAGATACAAATTTTACAAAACAGCATCAACATCTGAAATAATGAACTAGATTTTCACTCAATAGACGCTAACAGCTGGGGCCCTCCAGTCAGTCGGGCCCACATGTCAGTCACACCAAAACAGAGGAGGCGGCTCTACGCTACGCTGCTCGGCGCTACCTCGCCGGCGGCGAGGATTCCGGCGAGGCCAAGGACACTGGCGTGTTCCACGCGACGAACCGCACCTATCTATGCCCTTCCCGCAACCACTACCAAGCCCTAGCTACGACGGCGTCGGCAATGGCGGACGGCGGCGAGGACCCGACGGCGCTCTGGCGAAGTCCAGCTATGTAGGCACTGCTAGGCTCGGTACGAGCTTCTTGGGCTCACGGGGAAGCTAATTGAAGGAAGAACGGGGAGTGAGTGGGCTCCGGTGGTGGTCGGCCACGGTGAGCACCACTCCGGCGAGCCTCGGACGGCGGCGAAAATGACAATGCGGCCACACCAGAGGTCGAGCGGCTGCGCGGATGTGACGACATGATAGAGGAGCTCAAGGTAGAGCTATGGGCGAGATGGAACGAGGCAAGACGCGGTGGCAAGAGCGCGAGAGCTCGACGAAACTCTCGGCGGCAATGGAGCTCCACCGCGGGAAGAATAATGTGACTTCTACCTTGACTCTCCGGCTCAACGGCGAGGTGGACGAGCAACAGGGAACTACGATGAAGTTGTGGGCTAGCTAGAGTGAGCCACGACACGACAGCGAGGTGCATGGCTCGACAGAGCAATGGCACGGCGGTGGCTTTGTTTTCACGGTTCCTTAGACGCGCGCGAGGGGGAGATAGAGAACGAGGGCGCGTGGGAGGGCAGGCGGGCGCGGCCTCCAGCGGTCGACAGCGGGTTAGCGGCGCCAGGCCAGCCATGGCGTGTGGCGGCCATGCGGTGGCAACGGCCTGCTGCCGGTCGGCACTGTAGCGCCGATTCAGTTCAATCAACAGAGCAAATGAATCGGCGTGAGAGCGAGAGTTGGAGACGATAAAACTCTGAATTCGTTGATTATTAGCGCAAACAATCAAAACGAAAGTTGAAGTCCTATGTACCATCTCCAAAACTCCTTTAGAGATCAAGGTCTAATTCGCAATGGATAGAGAGTAAAATCAAGCCAAAGTCGAGCCTACGAAACTAGAAATCAACAAGGGACTTAGGAAATTTTCTAAGTGTAGAGTCAGCACCCAAATCTGACTTGTGGCCATGTTTGAGACTATTCCACACATTTTCATGACTTGACCTCTAAACAAAGTTTGTTCCATATAAAATTTGATACAACTTTTCTTTAGGTTGCTCAGACATACAAACATTCTAAACTGTACTTTTTAAACGGTCAAACAACAGAGCTCTAGGGGTCAACACAAGTCAAACCATTACTTGGAAGTATAATTAGGCAATATGGTCAACATGAACATTGTTCCTAATGGAATTCTAAGTATAGCTAAGTTGTTTAAGAGGACATTTAACACACAATTGCATAAACCAC